TACCTATATAATACTCTCATACACATACAATCGTCATTCTCTATTTATTTTTCTTTTTTTTTTTCTCTTATGTCTTTCTGTATTGCTCTTATTGTGAATTTTTGTATTTATTCTGATGATGACAAAAGAATATTGTCGAAATATCAATAAATAAATACTATATGATTAGTTAAATCATAATGTTCGTTGCAGTTCTACACTTCATTTTCTCTATTATTAGAATTGTTTTATTCAATACAATTTCATTCAATACTTATTTTACCTTTCATTTCATTACAATTACGTAGTAGTCAATCTTATGAAAGATTTATTTTAGAAAATCGTTTAAATTATACTTATGAAGATAGAAATGATTTACCTATTCTTAATTGGAAATATTTAACACAAACATTAAGACCAAATAAACATGAAAGTAAAATAGAAATTTTATCAAAAAAGAGATTGTTTATCTGAACAAAGACAAATTTATCAATTAATTTTAGTTTCTATTTTTCATTGGTAAGATGAACTTGTTTATTTTTTTCATTTATTAGATTATCAGAAGATTTTGTTCATTTATTTCTTTCTAAACCAACAATTAAATAAGATGTTAAAACAGCTACTGTTGTTCAAATTGATATTGCTGCTGACACAACTCCATCATTACATCGAGGCAAAGATAGAAAATAATCACTTAATATTAATAAAGTTATTAGACATATTGAACGAAAAAGGATGAAATCATATAGAATTTCATTCGATATTAAGATTAAAAAATTTCTTTGTTTATTTTTCTGTATTTATTAAATCAAATTTTCTTTTGTATAGAATTTAGCTTGATCGGATAGTGAATGTTCATTATCAAATGAACTTCGTACAGTTGTAGCTAATGTTGTTGTCAAAATTGCTTGTATATTATCTAATAATTCAAATAGATTTTAATTAAAATGATTTGTTTGTTTTTTTTGCACGAGTGATAAAGATAATTTAGAACAATTAGATAAAATAAATCCAACATTTGAAAGATTTAAAACTGCCAAAGATACAAAATAGAAATCAATTAAAATTGAATATTGTTGTAAAAGGAAAACCAAAACCAAAAATCAAAAAAAAAAAGATAAAGCAGAAATTGAGGAAACAACTAATAAAGATAAAATCAGTAAAATAAAAGAATCTAATGACACATATTTATATATTCTTGAAATCTTAGTAAGATTTTTAACTTTAATTAAAATAAAATCAATTTATTGTTTCTTTTTTGGAATGCTACTCCAACTGATAATAGTGTTTATAAAATCTTAACTAAAAATGATGTTGGTGATTATCAAGCTTTAGTTAATTTAACACTCGATGCTGATACTCAACCACAGGAAGAAGACCATTATTTATGAATTGTTCTGAAAGTTCATTGTTTTCTTCTCTGTAGGAAAAATGAACAAGAAAGAAAAGCAAAACCAGCCAAAATAGCTGCTAATAAAATGACAGGACCTATTTTTGGCGATAAACCAAAGAAAGTTGCATGTCATCTAATCCGTTTATCTTTTCACAATTGCTCTCTTTTTTCTCATATTTTTAGACACCTAATCATGGTGATAAAGTACAAATTCAATGTAAAGTAACGGGTTCACTAGCACTTGAAATTACATGATTTTTCAATAAAAAAAGAAATTAAACAATCAGCTGTAAGTTTATTTACATGAAAAGGTCATCAGAGTAAACACTCGTTTTGTTTTCGTTGAATCTCGACGAGTTCTTCAATATATGTGACATATACACCACTAGATAGAGAAAGTATATATATATATATATATATACAATTCTGTATTCAAAACCTTATAGTCGTCTTTATTCTCTAGATTGAGCATCATTATAAATATTTTGTAGTCAATTTTTGTGTTTGAACAGCAGTGATCTGATAGATAACATTGGTATGATCTAGTACACTTCTACTTATACACAAACAATTCGTCATCGTATAGATCTTTCAATTGGAATTAATAATTAGTATTTCTTGTACTATTTATCATCAAAAGATCGATCTTTTCTCCATTAACTTTAAGTTTTTTTTTTCAATTTATAGTTGCTTGAGTTTGATTTTTAAAGATTGTTTTTACTTTATAGTCGTTTGTCCTAAATGTAAATCGAATTCTCTATAATAAAAGATCAACCTACTTTCGATTATTAATAAGAAGGATTGATGGAAAAACTTATATTCTTCACAAAATTTAATTCATTATCAAGAACTATGTGTGCTATACTCTTACAGCTGATTTCACATTTGTAATAACTGTTTAGTATTATTATTTCATTAATATCAAGCAAAGACTTCTATAGTATCATTTATCTGAACAGATTATCAAAAGATATTTTTCTTTCTATACTTTGATGTCAATAACTGTTGATTCCAGCAACGATTCCAATTTCATACATATTGATTATTAAATACAAAAGGTTGAATACATCTTTTCTCATTGCTAACATACGAATACACAGACAAATATATCAATTTTGCGCGATGCCTTTATTTCTTCTAATGGCCTGAATAAGAATATAAATAAGAGAAAAAAAAATTCCTAAAATTCTACATAAAAATAAAAAGCTAGATTAAAATCACAAAATGTCTGTTTGTGTTTTGTTTTTTTTGAATAAATTATTTATTCCACAGTTACAAGGAATGTTCGAATTTCCATTGGATTAAGTATAATATTTAAATCTTCTAATGATATTTCTTCTAAAAGAAAAACAAAAAAAAAGAAATTTTAAAAAAATTAATATTGAACACATACTTAAAATATTCATTTTAGATAATGTCTTATTTGTAGTTGACCACTGAAGTCTTTTCATATTATTTAATGGTAAATTACCACTAAGTGTCAATTCAACTATATCAATAATTATTCCTTGAGATTGAAATATTTTTTGTAAATCAAATATAACTGAATTTGAATATGTATCATCTTCATTTAATTCAAAATAATGTTCAACACGAATTAAATATTGTTTTGTATCTAATTGATCGAATGTCAATAAATGTATATTTAATGGTAAATCATTTTCTAATCCTGACCATGTTTGATGATATGTTGTTGAATAGTTAACATATGATAATTGAGGTAATGCATAGGTAGCAAGTGGATGCATATATAATTGTTGAGAGCCAACTCGATGATAGAGAGCACTTGATGCAGGTGATTCAATAATAAGAAAATGTCTACCACGAACAACAAGACCATCATCAAAAGCTGTTTCATTTAAAGGTTCATCAACACCAAGTGCATCATCATAAAATGTACGTCTATGTACCATAATTTCAATAGATCCATCATAAATACTACTACCACCTTCGGATCGATCTAAATAAAGAAAAAAATTTGCAAGTCTAAACTATTTGATTTCTTTATCGAGGTTGTTTTTTTTTGTTACCAGTAAGAATAGTAAATTGACGATTTGGTTCTTTAATCCATATTCGACTATTTATTGGATAATAATTTCCACTTACAGATTCAACTTTTGAATAATTCCATGTTGGTCGATAATCTCGTATACGTTCAAGAACTTCACGTCCATTTGCATCAGTATAAAATTTTGATTGACTTTTAATATCTGTATCATAACGAAGAATAATTTCTTTACCAATATTATCATCAATTGGTATAGGTCCAACTGTCCATTCTACTTCAAGTATATTTGCATTATCATATAAATTTATTTCTTGACTTGTCCAATCATTAAAAATAATGATTGCTGATTGAACAGTTGTTGTTTTAATACATGTTCTAAGTAAGAAAGAGAAAAATTTCGATAATCAAACTAAATAAATCTACTTACATTGAACGTTTAGTGCTTACTGGTTGAGGATCTGATGAATTTGGACGAAATATATAAGCACCAGATGCTTGAAATTCTGCTCGAGAATTATTACCCGCAAAGCCTAATATATAATGTGAATATACAGTTTATAGATAGATGTGCGCTTACTTGTATACCAATAAAAACCTTGAGCAGTAAATGGTACAACTATATTCTTTTTCAAATTTATAATCTTATTTAAATTTCCTTGACAATCAAATTCAACTTGAAGATACTATAAATAAATTTACAAAAAAAAAAAATAGAAAATCAAGAAATTATTTTCATCTTTTACTTCATTTTGAAGAATACATTTATCATCTTTTGTTATAATTATTTCTTGTTCATCATTTATTTTATTGGTTAGAAGAGTATTATTTTTAACTTCAAAATAATATGTATTAAAACCAAGTGCTGGTAAAATAGCTTTAAAAATAAGTTGATTCATAGCAAAACTCTTTCGACCAGGAATTTTCTTTGTTGGTTCTGATATTGGAATAAGCTAAAACAAACAATCAAAGAAATCATCACTTAAACGAATTCCTTTATATTATTGTATCTACATCAGCTAAAATAACATGTCCTGTTGAATCAAGTATTGTATAATTTTTTGTTACAGGAACACGAACATGATGAGAAATAGTATGTCCAGTTGGATTCCAAAGTGTCAAGGTAAACTATTACAAATCAAAAGAGAAGAAAATAAAAATACAAAAAAAAACAAAATGTTTGTATACGAACTCGATCTTGTCCTTCAATAGGTAAACATTCACTAATATTTGTTAATTGACAAAGAAATTGAGGTACATTGGGTAGTGATTGATTATCTTTAGGCAAAAGTTTATCATAAGCTTTATTGATAACATCCTAAAATTTAAATAATTAGAGAAACTATTCAATTTATGTTTCTTTTCTTTTTTTTTGTTTTCTTTGCAATACAAATGTTTTCATCTTGATCACTTACCACTGCAGCATCAATACCTTCGGCTAATCGCATAGCATAATCAAAAGCAACTTCTTGTTTTTCTGTTCCACTAACTGCATCATGATGTTGTACAACACCCATTGCTTCGCCTATTATTAACAACATGTTCAAAACATAGAAACATTCTTTTTTTTTATCAAAAAAAGAAACAAAAATCAATATCTTACTCAAACGAAAAATACTATTACGTAAATTTGTATTAGCAAATGCATTCAATTGTCGAGTTACTTGTAAAATATTATTTGAATGACGTTCATAACGTTTAAGAGCTGCTCGTGATGTAAAATAACCTGTCCAAAATCCATGTGGATGATGAGCATATGGAAAAAAATCATCGGTTTTTATTGTCCAACTACGACCAACTTTGTTCAATGCATATAAATAACACGATGGTGTTGAATAGAATACATTTACATTACTTCCATTTGCTTGCTAGAATTTATTTTTATTAATAGATAAAAAAAAACTATTTCGAAGAAAACATTTAAAAAAAAAAGAAATTCCTATACTTCAGCATTCACATATTTAATTAATTTATCTAAATTTTTAAACCAATGATTTGCATTTCCATATTGAAAATCACTACCCATTGTCATAATAATATGATTTGTAGCAAATGCAAGTGCCTTTAAAGAAAAAAACAAAAGAAACTTTTTACAATTGATTCTTCTAGAAATATACGAACTTCATCATGAGCAATTTGAATAAATTTTTGAACACGTTCAGGAACATTATAATCATGTAATCGAGGATCATCCTATAAATTTACATTTAAAAATAATTAAAGTTTTTCTTTTTTTACAAGAAAAATATTAGCAAAAAAAAAAACAGCATCGCACTATAATAGATTTATCATTTCAGAAAAGATCGAAAGCAAAAATTAATTGCTGATGTGTAGATATTAAATAAAAAACAAGTGTAAAACCATACACATTATCTGTAAGTAAAAGAAAAACATGCATGTATCAAAAGAAAACGATTTTACAAGCAAAATAAAAATAAAAATATATAAAATAAATTAACTAACCATAATGGGTTCACCATCACAAAAGATGTCAAAACAGAACGAACCCGGAGGACCATATCCATTCGGTAAAACACCCGTAAATAACCAACTTTGATCACCTACAAATATTTATAAGATTATTATTATTATTATTATTAATTAGAAATAAATTATCTTCTAAATACTAAAATCTATTTCATATGACTTACATACCTAAATTAGTACTAGCTTGCCAAATCATTTCCATAGTTTTTATTTTTTGACGTTGTTCAATATCTTGATAATCAGCACGACCAAAAAATAAACCATCAAAACCCATCTATAGATATTTCATAATAATATCCTAGTTAATTCTATGAAAAAAAAAACCAACGATTACTTGTGCTAAGATTGAAGCTTGTTCACGTGAATGACCAAATGGATCAATTTGCCAGCCAATTTTTGGTCGAGCACATTCACCAAATTGATCACGTAAAAATTCAGCACCTAAACTATGTTGATCAATAATTGAATTATAATGTGTTGATGCTTCATCATTCATACACCAACCACCAGAAATAAATTCCAAACGACCTAAATCATAAATTATTTTTCATTGTTTTTTCTTTTTATCAAAATTTAATATAAAATAATTTACCTTCGTTGACAAAGTTTTTGACTTTAGTACGTGTTTCATTTGTTTGTTGATTCCACCAACGCCAAAAAAAAGCTATTTCAACATAAATAAAACGTCGATCGGGATTTTCTTCAAGTGAATGTATAACAGAATCGAGAATATATTGCACACCAGCATGTTGAATATTTTCAC